CTGTCCTCGGTTGTCTTTCTCAAAACAATGTTCAACTTTGTTGTATTTTAGTTAAATTTTTATATTTTAATATTCTCTTAACAATTTCATCATGCCTACTGTGTTTACATCCTTTCTGCCCACCCTCCTCCCCCCACTCCCTCTCAACATCATGACCTCATTCTTTAATTTGTTACATATACACAGACGTAGTCTAGTGTCGCTCTTGTGCATCCCTGGAGCGGGCTGCCCCTCCCTCTCCTAGCAGCCGTGAATGGCCGGGGTGGACCTAGTCCCATCCATCCAATGTAGGATGTCAGCTGGTGTTGTCACTGTGCAGGCCTTGTTTTCGCGACCCTGCGTTTACGTGTCCCCACGCATGAGCACATATGTTTACCACAGTGCACGAATGTTGTCCATCAGAGGGCAGCTTCTGGGAGTGGGCTCTCTCCTTCCACCCTGTGGATCTGGGGGATCCAAAGCATAGTCAGGCATGGCAGCAGGTGCCTTCTTACCTCCTGAACTGTCTCCACCCGTTTTCCTCCTTCTTGTTGTTTGTTGCTATGTCCGTGGCTTGGAGCTCACTAAGTAGGCCCAGGCTGCCTGGCCAGCGAGTCCCAGGAATCCACCCGCCTCCATTTCTCCAGCGCTGGGATTGTAAGTATTCCCCATTGTGCCCAGCTTTTTGTCATATGAGTTCTGGAGTGCAAACTTGGGTCCTACTGTTTACACAGTAAGCATTTTATGAACTGGGCCATTGCCCCAGACCACTTGCTTGCTTTTCATGCTTCCTGTTTTTTTATTGTTGTGTGTGTGTGTTTCCGTGGGGCTCTTACTATAGCTGGCTCTGATCTTCCAGCCTTTTCTGGAGTGCTGCAGGGATTACAGACATGTAACACTGTGTCGGTTTATGGGCCCAGGCTTCGTGGGTTCCTGCTAGACATGCATGCCACCAACCTAGCCCTGTCCCAAGCCCTGGTTTCTAACTAACCAGCCTCCAATGGCATCATGCCTGGGACTTCAACATACAAATGGAAACAAGTTGCTTGCAGCTAGTGTCAGTGGGGTGAGGATCTGAGCCCCCATTTCCCTTTGAGTACCCACCTGCCCCCCACGCTTGAGAAACTGTCCCAGGCAGGGTAGCCTCTTCTTCTCCTCCTTTGGTTGCTTCTACCTAGTTTTTTCCCAGTGCTAGAAAAAGGAAGTGGTTTGCATGGACTAAAAGCAACAAAAACCAAAGAATGTGTTTCTTCAGGAACTGTGACCTAACAGCCTGAACTCTGGCTGTGTGTACAGAAATGTCCTGAGCTTTGTCCTACCAACTTAACCCCCTTCTTCTACGATTAGAGGGAACCTCTGTAACTCAGGAGTCTTTCTCTGCCTGTGTGTGTGTGTGTGTGTGTGTGTGTGTGTGTGTGTGTCATTTTCCATTCCAGGGTCTCCACGCCTAAGCCTAGAGTGCACACACTCTGGATTGTCTACCCAGCTTGCCCTGGGGTTCTCTCTCTGCCTCTCATGAACTGGTATGTCGAGTGGTCACTTCACCTGCCTGGCTTTATGTGGGTTCTGGGGATCTTTATCTGATCCGAGGTCCTCACAGTACTTGGCAAGTTCTTCATCTCCCTTCACCATGGCTTTCGGTGACAGGAGGTTATCTGGGTTCTCTCACCACTGAGTGTCTTCTGAGAGTAGAGGCTTCTGTAATGTGCCAGAAACCCAGGCACAGACCTGTAGTCCCAGCCCTGGGGAGGTGGGGGCAGAAGAGTGGAAGGTTCAGGTTCGTCCTCAGGTCCTGGGCTACAGGTGGAGTTAGAGACCGCCACGTGATACTCTGTTGCAAAGGTGTGGGGAGGGGGGTGCTCAGCCGGTAAAGGAACTCAATGCCTAGAAAACCAGTTTCCACCGGCTGCCTTTTGTGGAAGGTCCGCTCCCAGGGTGAGCACTGTCCCCTGCAGTCCCCAGAAGGCCTGCTGTCATCTTCCTCCTTTCCTCTAAGTGAAGTGCTCACAGTGATTTTCCCCGTCTCTGCGGTTTCCTCTTTCGGTTTTATCCTTGGAAAGCTTCTCTACACAGAGATCAAATGAACAGTGCACCAAGTTGAATCTATTCTTAAAATCTTTGTCTTTTCCCAGTTGGTTGTTCTTTAAAAGCCCTTTAACTGCAGAGAATCACTCACCGTGGTAACTGTGGCTCTGCCTGGGTGGCGAGAAGCGATTATTCATAATGACTTGGCTTCTTTCACGTGTTAGGATTGAAGACTAGACCTGTTTAACAGAACATTCACCAACATCCCGACTCTTCCAGAGAACCTCAGTTCAGAGTAGCGTGGCGGGGGTGCAAGGGGGGGCGTGGGGGCGTGCGGGGTGGGGGCGGTCGAGGAAAGTATGGCCACTGCACCCTTTTCCTTCTTGGTTAAAGGAGAGCTCAAGAGGCTGGGGGATGGCTCGGTTGGTAAGAGTGCTTACCCTGCAAGCGGGAGGACCTGGTTATACCCCCAGGCCCACGAGTAAATCCAGAGCGTGACAGAACTCCCTGTATATATTTACTTTACAAATTTTGAAGTTGCATTAAAACTCTTGTACCTTGCTTTTGATTTTGTGTGTCTGGGTGTTGTGCCTGCACGCCTGCCCGTGTGTCACGCACATACGTTCTCCACGGAGGCCAGAAGCAATGGGTGGCGTGGTAAGGTACTGCGTGATGCCTGGAGGACGCCAGAGCAGTCCCCAGGCTGGGACACCCTGACTCCCCGCTAACGTCTCTCTGTGCCCTGCAGGCTAATCTCTCTTCCTGCCTCCTTCTTTGAGATAGGGCATCAGTCTGGCCTTCAACACACTAAAATGACCTTGAACTCCTAATGCTTCTCCCTCTACCTCCCGAGTGCTAGGATTACAAGTGTGTGCCACTGTGCCTGGCTTAGTGGGAGTGAGGATGAAACCCAGGGCCCCGTACATTGTAGGCAGGCTGTCGCCAACTCAACTACAGCTCCAGCCACCTTTCTTCCTAGCCGCCTTATTTTGGTGCCAGAAATCCTGCCCAGAGCTTTGCACATTTAAAAACATATTTGTTACTGTGTTTATGCCTAAGTTTGTGCTTCCACATGTGAGCACGCCAGAGGGGGTGTCATGCCACCTCTGTGGAGGTCAAAGGACATCTCTCAGGAGTTGGTCTCTGTGCACTGTGGGTTCTGGAGCTCAAACTCAAGCCCTTCTTCTTTCTGAGCCACCACCCACCCCCACTCCACACCCTGTGAGCACCAAGTAAGGAAGGAAAGAGTCTCACTGTGTAACCCAGGCTGGCCTAGACCTCAGAGACATCCTCCTGCCTCTGTCTCCCATTTGTTTTGGGGGCTTTTTTTTTTAAGATTTTTTTTTCATTATTTATACAATGTTTTGTCTGCCTGTACACCTGCATGCAGATCCATCTCATTATAGATGGTTGTGAGCCACCAGGTGGTTGCTAGGAATTGAACTCAGGACCTCTGGAAGAGCAGCCAATGCTCTTAACCTCTGAGCCCGGTCTCCAGCCCCTGTTTTTTGTTTTTTAAGTCTCTTGTAGTGCAGGCTAGCCTCCAATGCCCTCTGAGGCTGAGAATGACCTCAATGCTTGATTCCCCACCCTCCACCTCTCAGCGTTGGAACCACAGATTTCATTTACATAACATTGCAGAACTGACTGGGTTAGTCCGAGTTCTGAGGCCTAAGGCTTAAGATAACTCCTGCTTGGGGAAATGGACTCGCTCTTCTAAGCAAACACTCTGGAGCGGCCTTGGTTCCAGGGACTTTCCTTGGAAGCTGCTCAGCCCCTTCCCAGGTAAAGGCCAAGTAACTGAGTCAGGCTTCTGAGTCAGTGCCTATCTCTGGAACTGCTTGTGTGCATGGACGCACATGCGTGTGCACGCACACACATACAGGCACCTAAAATGCTGGAATCCTCGGGGTTTTGAGTGTTCTTTACCACCTTTGCTTGCTTGTTTGTTCGTTTTGGTTTTTTTGTTGTTGTTGTTGTTGTTATCCTTAGGGTGGCCTGGAACCCACCCTTATCAGTAAGGGACCTCCTCTGACTCAGCCTCCTAATTGCTGGGTTTGCAGGGAGGAAGTACCACGCCTACCTTCTTTACCAAGTTCTTACACCCGGGCCCACCCAAGGAAAGTTCTCTAAGCAGAGATTTCTCAGTTTCCACAGATAGAAGGCTTTTGGTAAGCTGAGATCAGGTGCCCACCACAGGCTGGCACAACAAGGGCTCAGGAGCCAGGACCAGCAGCTCTGGCACAGCCCTGGGCCACCCGTGGACTGTGCCCACTATTAGGATCCATATTTTAGAATTGGACCATGGAATAGCAAGGCAGAAGAAGGCAGCTTGGAGGTGGGAGTCCATCGGGTGTGGGTGTGGAGTGATGGAGACCTGCCCTCTGCCCTGTTGCCTTTCTCCATTCTCACGCTGCAGTTACTTCACAGCGGCTACATTTTAATGTCCTGATTGGCCCGAGATATAGCTAAGCCTCCTTACAGGCTCCAAACCCCTCCAAGCACTTTCCATGCTCACCCGGGGAATGTTTATTCCTCTTATATGTGCCAAGGCAGGCCGGTTCTCTCTAGATCCAAGGACATCTGTTTTGGAGACAGGGTCTCCTGTCTTCCAGGCTGCTGTTGGCTCTCTGGGTAGCTAAGAATGACCCTGAAATCACAGCCTGTGCCACCATGCCTGGCTTATGCAGTTCTGGGGACCAAACCCAGGGCTTTGTGCCTGCCGGGCAAACACTACTGCCTGAGCTACAGTCCGGCCTCTTGGTTTATTTTTAAACTTTGTACCAATTGCTGGCATCTTCCTGAGGGCGGAGGGGCACTTCCTATGAGAGCTGAGTTTTGAGTGGTGGCTGGAGGCTGACGAGCCTCTCCCCTGAGCTGACTTCTGTGGTCTCAGAATCGTAATGCAAATGTTCTGAATTTTAGTCAAATGCTTTTTCTCTTCTCAAGTGAGTTTAAAAAAAAATTTTTTTTTCCCATCCATGGTCTCATTACAGGGGATCAGCTGTTGCCAAAATCATTGGAAATAATGTGAAGAACCTGCAGAAGTTCGCCTCCACGGTCAAGATGTGGGTCTTCGAAGAGACGGTGAATGGGAGGAAGCTGACAGACATCATCAACAACGACCACGAGAACGTGAAATATCTCCCAGGACACAAGCTGCCAGAGAACGTGGTGAGACTCGCCGGGACACGGTTGGTTCGCTCTCCCGGCTGTGACCCTCCGAGTGCCACAGGGACCTCCCTTTCCCCGGTCTCTACTGTCACTTGATTGGCTCTGATTTTCTTGGATTCAGGTTGTTCTTTGGGACAGGGTCTGAGTTTCTTCTGTGGATGCTGTTGTTAAAATCTCTTTAAAATGTGTGTGTGTGGCTGGGTGTGGTGGCCCACTCCTGCCTGTGATCCCAGCACTCAGGGGGGCAGAGGCAGGCAGATCACTGGGAGTTCAAGACCAGCCTGGTCTAAAGTGAGTCCAGGACAGCCAGGGTTACACAGAAAAACCCTGTCTCAAGAAAAAAAAAAAATGTGTGAATGCTCACATGTCTATAGCGTTCAGGCCTTGGATCCCTTGGAGCTGGAGCAGAGTAGGTTGCCAGTGCTGGGAGCTGAACTCAGGGCCTCTATGGTGGAGCAGCAAGCCCTCTTAACCGCCTAGCTACTCCTCCTGCTGCCATGACTACCTCTTCCAAGGACAACAGCCCTATCGGATTAGAGCCCTCTGCACCGACCATTTTGCTGCTTAACTGGCATTCCTTTCTTTTCAGTTCTTAGGCCTTCCCTCCACCCCCCGAGACAGAGTCGCATGCTTGTAGCCCAGGCTGCCCTCAAGCACACACGACACTGAACCTCTGGTCCTCCTGCCTCCACCTCCCCATCCAATCACCCCCAGTGTGTGGTTCTGGGGATCTAACTCTGGGCTTCATGCATGCTGAGAAGGGTCTCTAGAGCGGAGCCCCATTCCCAGCCCAGCATTGCTGTGTGGCTGTCAGTGAGGCTGTGGTCGACTTTGACCCTCCTGAGACAGTGACCGCCATTTGTCCCTACCATTCCACCACTGGCTCACTAAAAGCTGGTGGGTCTGAGTGCGGTTTCCCTAGACCTGAACGGAGAGGACACTGGCTACTTCTGTCATTGCAAGAGCAGTGGCCAAGCTGAGCTCTCCGCTGAGAGCTCGCGTTTGGAGCTCAGCCAGGCAGAGGCTCTTCCGCTGTGGCACTCTGGCTTCAGCTCCCTCTGTCTGGGATTACTTCTCATCGTCTCTCCCATCTTTGCTGAGCTCTGCCTGGCTTTTAAAAAGCACTGTTCTCAGGGTGGAGAGATGGCTCAGCAGTTAAGAGCACTGGCTGCTCTTCCATAGGTCCTGAGTTCAGTTCCCAGCAACCACATGGTGGCTCACAACCATCTATAGTGAAATCTGATGCACTTTTTTAGAGTGCAGGTGTACATGCAGATAGAGCACTCATATATGTAAAATAAAAATAAACCTTAAAAAAAACCCACCATTGTCATTAACATCAAAATCTTTGTGTCTACACTAGTGTGGGGTTTGGTTTTTGGTTTTTGGCCTTTTGAGATAGTCTTGTGTAGCCCAGGCTGTCCTGAATCTTGCTACATGGCCAAAGATAACCATGGGCTCCTGATCCTTCTGCCTTAACATCTTGGTATCCAGGATTAAAGAGAGGCTGAGGGAGGAAGATGGCGAGTTCCAAGCCAGCCTGGGCTACATGGTGACTTCCAGGGCAGCCTGGAGAGTAAAGGACGATCCTGTCCCAAAAAGCAGGAGTAAGAACAGCAGTGGGGCAGGAGAGCTGGCTCAATGGCTGAAGGCATCTTCTGCATCCGAGCCTGATGACCTGAGGTTGGTTCCCCAGGACCTACATAGGGGAGAGAGCCAAGCTGCCCAATGCAATAATTAGTTAAAAGGACACATCAGGGTCCTTTTCCTACAAAGAGTAGGGGTGGAGAAGCAGTACCTCTTGGCAGTGTGCGTTCTGAAGGGGTGAGGGTGTGGACTGGGGAGTTTCTGCAGGCCTCATCTGCGTCCCCACTTCCCTGCAGGTCGCGGTCCCAAACCTCAGCGAGGCTGTGCAAGATGCCGACCTGCTGGTGTTCGTCATTCCCCACCAGTTCATTCACAAGATCTGCGACGAGATCACGGGCAGGGTGCCCAAGAAGGCCCTGGGCATCACGCTCATCAAGGTAGCTGTTCGCGCAGGGGACGGGAGGCAGGCCCCAGGGCCCACCGCCTTCCCTCTGCTTGGGAAGGTATGTCAGGTACCTCTCTCAGCAGCCAGGACTAAGCACCTGACAGGAAGTGACCTCAGTGGACACAGGTTTGCTTCAGCTCACTGTTGGAGGCCAGCCAGGCAGGCATGGCTGCCGGCAGCAGCTGGCTTGCTGCATTGCTGCATTTTTGTTTTGTCTTGTGTTGCTGAGCCCATCACCTTGTGTGTGCCGGGCGAGCAGTCTGGCACTGAGCTGTGTCCCCAGCCCTCCCCTCCTTTCTTATTCAGTCTGGGACCCTGGCCCAGGAGACAGTGCCACGGTTTCCAAGGTGGGTCTTTCTGAGTTAATGTCCAACACACTCAGAGGTATGCATGACTAGTGAGGAGTCCGGTTGAGGGGACAGCTAAGGTTAACCACCCATGGTGGGTGAGATGGCTTGGTGTGCGTAAAGATGCTTGCTGTGAATCTTGAAGATCCCCAGTACCGTGGCAAGAAAGGATGTTGTATTTTTATTCATTTTCATCTCCAACTGAATGGTTTCTTCCCTTCGTTTAACTGGCTTTCTAGGTTTTCTTGTATGCATATATCTTTTCTCCATATAGACTTCTAAAACCCACTCCACAAACTTCACCATACAGCTAGTGGTGGGGTGTGTCATCAGAGTGAGTTCTGGAGTTCATTTTGGAATACCATGCATCAGGGAACAGAAATGAGTCACTGTGCATCCGTGTGTGTGTGTGTGTGGCGGGGGGGGGGGGGGGGTGTCCCTAACATAGTTATGTAGCACCAAGCAGAAAAGTATAGATGAACATTTCAGTGCTGTTTATCAATGTTGAAAGACGGGTCTAGTGCCATCACACTTTGGTGGCACAGTGACATTTGATAAAGTGGACTGGAGAGGTGGCTCAGTGGTTAAGAGCACTGACTGCTCTTGCAGAGGGCTGAAGTTTTATTCCTAGCACCCACCTGGAGGCGCCAGTCTTTAACTCCAATTCCAGGGGACCTGACGCCCTCTCCTGGCCGTCCTGGGAACTGCAGACATGATATTCATGCGGGCAAACACTTATAGATGACAAAACTTAATTTTTTTCGAGACAGGGTTTCTCTGTGTAGCCTTGGCTTCCCTGGACTCTGTAGGTCAGGCTGACCTTGATCTCACAGAGATCCACCTGCCTTCCCAAGTGCTGGTGTGTGCCACTGTGCCCAGCTATAAAACTTAATTTAATAAAAGAAAATTGGCTGCAGTGTTGACAGCATTCGGGATCTCTGTTGTGTCAGATGGGAGGAAGGTGGAGAGAAGAGGAACCTGGGGAGAGGATACTCCCACCTCGTACAGGAGGAGCTAATGCGGTGGGTAGCCTAGATTTTAGTGTGTGTGTGCGCGCGCGCGCGTGTGTGTGTGTGTGTGTGTGTGTGTGTGTGTGTGTGTGCGCACATAAGTGCAGGTGCCGTCACAGACCAGAGACGCCACTCTATGTCCTCAGCCCTAGAGAAAAGGGCCCACATGTCACATTCTGAGTGTGGCATTGGCTGGTCATTGGTTCCACACTCTCTGCAGCCACACACATTTGAGACATTTTTAAGCACGGCATAATCTGCTGAAAAAAATCTCCTGGTGATAATTAATATAATCCCGAGTACACAAAGAAGTGTAAAAAACCTCTGCATAAAGCACGTGACATCTTACATAAAGGTGGGTTCTGTAGATTGGCTGCAAGAAACAAGCTCACGATGAGGGTCTGGGAGAGGGTCTGCTGGCACAGATGGTGCCGAGGTCACCAGGCTGCTAACCACATCTGTTCCCAGCCTGTGGGTGGAAAACAGGTTATACGTCTCCCCCTTGATGAGACAGCCGTGGGCGTTTAACACCCTGGCTCCCCTGGCACTTACCTGTGAGCACTAGGACCTCTGCCTCCCACATCATCTTACCCAACACAAGTGGCTTCCTTCTGTTCTTTTGTGTGTGTCTGACAGACAGTCTCACTCTGACTTCCACCCTTCTATGTGGCCAAGGCTGGCCTTGAACTCAGTGCAGTCCTCCTGCCTCGGGCAGATTACAGGTGTGAGTCCCCGTGTCCAGGTATGATGTCTTGCCCCTCTGATTTGGCAGTCCCTCCTGACTCCTGAATCCTTCCAGGGCATAGACGAGGGCCCGGAAGGGCTGAAGCTCATCTCCGACATCATCAGAGAGAAGATGGGGATTGACATCAGTGTGCTGATGGGGGCCAACATCGCCAGTGAGGTGGCCGCGGAGAAGTTCTGTGAGACCACAATTGGTGAGGCCGCCGCAGCCCCCGGCAGTGCTGGCTGCCTAGCCTGTACCATGCCTGCATGTTCCCAACCCCCACGTGGCTCTTCCCTTCGCTGGCGCTCGGGGCCTCGTGCGCTACACGCATGGTCTACCTATGAAATCCCAGTCTTCCAATAGGTGGTGGAGGCAGGAGAATTAGGCAGCCTTGGCTACATGGAGAATTAGGAGCCAGCCTGGGCTTCCTGTGACCCTGACCCGGAAGAGGAAGTGGCGGAGGGTGCTGGGAGACGGTGCAGCAGGTGGAACATCTGCTCTGCAACATGAGGACCGAGTTCAGGTCCTAGTACCCGCGAGAAAGCAGGCACGGCATCGGGTGCCTGAACCCCACTACTGCCAGGCGACGACTGCAGGGGCCGGAGGGCTTGCAGCCAGCTAGACTAGCCGAGCCAATCAGGAGAGAGCCTGCTTCTAAACGTGCTGGACACGGCTCAGCGCTGTTGCTTCCATAGAAGAGCCAGGTTTAAGCCCAACATCTACACGGAGGCTCAGAAATGCCTGTCACTTCAGTTCAGGGGATCCAGGGCCCTATTCTGGCCTCTGTGGGCACTAGGTTCATGCATGATATAAACAGACACGTAGGCCAAATGCCCATACACGTTCATAAATAAAGCAAATGGGGGCTAGAGATGGCTCAGCAGCTAAAGAGCACTGAGTGCTCTTCCAGGGGACGCGGGTTCGATTCCCAGCAACCACACAGTAGCTCAGAACTGCCTGTGACTCCAAGACCTGTCACCCTCACACAGACATACATGCACGCAAAACCACCAATGCAGATCAAATAAAATAAATAATAAATTATTTTGTAAAAATAAATAAATCTTAAAAACTAATAGTAAGGTGGAGAGGTGCTGAGGAGGACACCCAGGATTAACTTCCGGCCTTCGTGCCTCTAAAGATTAATTTCATCTGTCTGCACGTGATGCAGCTGGATTTAGGGGCTCACAGCTAAGGCTCCACGGCTGGGCTCCATGCCCACCTGCGGGTCTCCGGATTGGTGACAGTAGGGGCCAGCTGCTGTTGTAAGGTCAGGAGTGTGTACCAGTGTGGTTTGCTGCAGCAGATGGAAATGCTGTCAGTGGGTGCTCCCGCCCCCTTGTGGTGGCCGTGGGTGGTGACTGTGCCCTTCATGCTCCTGGTTCACAAAGCCGGAGCTATCCGACACCGTTCCTGACGTGTGTCTGAACATACGATCTGAAAAATGATGTGGGATGGGGGGGGGGGGGGAAGGCAAGGATTGGCACCGGTGGCCACAGAGACAGGTAAGTGCCTTGCACAGATAACACACACACATACACCAACAAATGTCAGCTGACTTCGTAATTATGGGGCTGAGCCCTGTTCCCACACCAAGGCTGTTTTCTTTCTGATTCTTACTTAACTTTGTAGCCAACCTGGGAGGGCCAGTACTTTTTCTCAGGAGGAAGCTGGAGGAGGTTACATCAAACATCTCCAAACTTGGCTTGTGTCTGAATCACCCAGGGAGCCTCAGAAACCAGCTAGGCTGCTCCCCTCCAGGGCCAGGATTTAATCATCTGGGTAATCGATGTTTTTAAAGCCCCCGGGGGGTGGCATGTGCAGGCAGGCCCGGCAACAGCTGGCCTCCCTCCTGGAGACCTGGGGCTGGAGTCCTCTGGGGCTTTCTGATGTCATGATAGTTTCTACTGCCCTGTGGCCAGGATTTACCTTAAAAAGCCTTAAAGTCCTGAGTTCAGAACATGGGGAGAGATTTGCCTAACCCACCTGCACCCCACCAGCCAGAGCAGATGTCACCCAGGCATCGTGGGTAAGGTTTTGCTTTGGTTTGTTTTTTCCTTTGTTGCTATTATGTTTGGTGTTTCTGAACCCAGTTTCCCTGTGTAGGTAGCTCAGGCTCATCTGGAGCTCATGGCTCTTAACCTCAGCCTCACAGAGACTAGAGATCCATGCAACATATGTGCCACCAGGATTGATTTCTGCTGCCTTGTCTTATTTCATTTTTTGAGACAGGGTCTCACTATGTAGTGCTGATTGGCCTTGAACTCACAGAGGTCCACTTGCCTCTGCCTCCAGTCTGCTGGGATTAAAGGCGTGTCCTCACACCTGACTGTTTCTACTGTTTAATCAGTGGTGTCTAAAACGCACCCCAGCCTTTCTGCAGAGGAGGGACAAGGCTGTGGCCAAGACAAGTTCTCCGCCTGCATGCCTGTCTATAGCACCACGGCCAGTAGACCCTAGAGCACATACAGCCTACATTCCATTTCCAGAAAACCCTTTCATGTCTAATGAATTTAAAATGTACTCATTCAGTACATTAAATATATTTGTTAGATTGTAAATAATTGTTTCTGGTATTATGAAATGACAATCCAATCCGCAGGGAGGATGGTGTTTGGGGTAGCCTGAATCTGTGTTCCTGGCCATGGTGGCTCATCTGAAACTCTCATTCACTTAGAGGCATAGCTGTGTGCCTTCTGTACATACATACATGTACATTGTATACGTGTGTGTGTGTGTGTGTGTGTGTGTGTAGAGCCTGTGTTAGCACTCTTTAACCTCTGCTAGGTGTACAGTGGACACTGGGGCCTCACTGACCTCCCACTCTCCTAACCCTGGTACAGGCAGCAAAGTGATGCAGAACGGCCTTCTCTTCAAAGAGCTGCTGCAGACGCCCAACTTCCGCATCACCGTGGTAGATGATGCAGACACCGTGGAGCTTTGTGGTGCCCTGAAGGTAAAGTCGGCCTTGGTGCTCCACCCAGGGGAGGGGTGCTCAGGCCAGGCCAGCGCCAGCAGGCCACAGCAGGAGAGTGGGCTGTGCTGGTTGGTTGCTGGCTGGTTCTCTGTGTGTCCCTTGTTGTTCACCTTTTCGTACCAGGCTAGCTGGCCCCCAGCCTGCCAGGGGCTCTGCCTTCTTCACCTCCCTTCCCACCACAGGAGGGCTGGGCTTGCAGCTGTGTCCTGCACTGTCTGGTTTTATCTGGGTTCCAGGGATTCAATTCTGGTTGTCAGGCTTGCATAGCCAACGTCTTCCCACTGAGTCATCTCCCCGGCCATGCTCTGGTCTCCTCAGGAGCTTCCGTGAAAAAGAGCAGGCCTCGTCCTACGCATCCTGGTTTTCCTCTTTCCTGCATGAGGGGGCTTTGCCTCATGACTCTGATTTTGTAAATTGCTTTAGGTTATTTGTGTGCATGTTCTGCTTGCATGTGTATGTGTGTGCCACATGCACACTGATGCTGGGAGAGTTCAGAGGACGGTGTTGGACCTCACCGCAGCTGGAGTTATGGGTGGCTGTGAGCTGTCATGTGGGTGCCGGGAACTGAACCCAGGTCCTGTGCGAGGGCAGCCTCTGCTCTAAGCACTGAGCCACCATCTCTTTAGCCCCAAATTATAGGGGCTTTTCCTGAAAACTTGTTACTTATTTTTAAGATTTGATTCTCCTTTATGTGTGTGTCAGCTGAGCATGGGCACATGTGTACAGATGCTCACAGAAGTCAGGCGAAGGCCCTGCATACCCCAGGGCTAGAGTTCCTCGTGGCTGTGAGCTGCCTGTCATGGACGCTCTGGACCTTTGGAAGAGCAGCAAGTGCTCTTAACCACTGAGCCATCTCTCTGGTCCCCATCTTATTTTAGTGTGTGTGTGTGTGTGTGTGTGTGTGTGTGTGTGTGTGTGTGCGCGCACATGTGTCTGCGCCTGCACTTTTGGCTATGTACCCCAAGCATACTATGCCCTTGGAGGCCAGAAGAGGGCACTGGATGCCTAGAACTAGACTACAGGAGGTTCTGAGCTGCTCCGTGTGGGCTGGAGTGGGCCCCGGCCCTCTGCAAAAAACAGCTAGTGCTCTTCACCCCGGCTGTCTCCCCAGCTCCAGCCCCTTGTTCTCGGAGGTGCCGGCCTGGCAGCCCTCGTGTTTGGCTTCTCTGGGTCTCATCATTTTCCCTACTCACCCAGATCTTATCTTGAATGGAAATTTGTTTCCTCTCAGTCCACTTTACTGGTTTCTCGTTCTTTTTCACATGGAAGAGTTGTCTCCTGCTGACAAGAGGTTCTTTTTCAAAGAATAATTTATCTTTGTTCCCTAGAGTGAAAAGAAGCAGTTTCAATTGGCCAGTGACCAAGGATTGTCAGTAGACAAAAATCACAACAAATGTAATTACTTGGTCAGTCGGCCTCTAGCCCGAGTATGCAGAAGGCAGCTTGCATCTGCTGAGGACAGCTATGTCCTGTCAGTGGGGCAGATCTGAGGGTTCTGTAAAGCTAAAAACAAGGAAAAGAGCAATGGAGAAAACCCGATCCAGGTCGTTGAAATGCTTGCTCAGCACTCAAAAGGGAAGGCCTGGGTTTGATCCCCAGCACCACCTAAACAAGAGATGATGGAGGATATTATAATTCATCACTGGGCAGGTGAAGGCAGGAGGATCAGGAGTTCGAGGTCATCCTTGGCTACAGAGGGAGCTGGAAGCCAGCCTCCCTTCCCCCTTGACTTACCAATGTAAATATCCTGTTTAATCCAAAACTGCTTCTGGGATTGGAGGAGATGGACTGCCAGGTGACTGGCATCCAACTGCCTGTTTCCCGTGAGACTTGCCAAGGTGAGCGTGGAAGGAGAGCGCCTTCCCCTCCAACACTGTGTGGTCAGTCCCTAGTTTCCTTGAGAGACCCCGAGTAGCTGGAGGCTTGGGCAGCTGGGCAGCAGGCATCTGTACTTCTGTGCGTGGGGACACTTCCAGTTCCGTGCTGGCAGGCCTCCCTCCCCAGCCACCAAGGCACCGGCTTTGGTGGCTTTATTTTGGGTGAGATTTTTACGGCTTTTAAAGTCATCTGTTAAACTAATGCCCACTCCACAGTGGGGCACATCATGAGGGCCTAATTGCTCAGCATTTGCCACAAGCTGCACGGAGCTGTTTTTAAGTGACTAGATATTTTGGGTGACCAATGGGGAGGTGGTATGAGATCCCGCTGGGAAGAAAGGGTGCTGGGTGAGAGGCTTCTAGGCAGGGGGTTCTAGAGAGCTTGTTAGTGGGAGCTGCTGGGCTCCTTTAGGTCACCTGTGCTAGATTTGTGCCTGCTGCAGGACAGAAGTGAGAGGCACGTGGAGGCAGGGGCGGGCCAGGGCCCTTGCTGTCCTTCCCCAGGGCTCCTTTATTCCTTGAGCCTGCATCAGGGCTAGAGATTTCAGAGAGTGACAAGTACAGACGTGTCACTGTTAGTTGAGTCAGGCCACGGCCTCCCAACCCACAAGCAAAGAGATAAGAATGCAGAGTAAACCTGCGACCTGTGTGCCCTTTCTCTGCCCCCACCTCGGCCTCACAGTCCTGTGAGTGCTCCTCCCTCCTGGTGGCCACCCTTCCCCTGTGACAGAAGGGCCAAGGCCCAGCCTGGGTTATTTTATGTGTTTGCTTGTTTACCCACATCTTTGTCTGCGCGCCATGTGCGCACAGTGGACCAAAAGAAGGCGGTGCTGGAAACTGAACTCAGGATCTCTGGAAGAGCAGCTAATGTTCCTAACCGAGCCATCTCTCCAGCCCACACCTTGAACTTTGACCCCCCTGACTGCCCTGGGATTGCAGGTCTACAGGATCACACCTGGGTCATAATGGGGATGAAACACAGGGCTTTACACAGGCTGGGCAGGCAGCCGACAATCAGGTCTGCGTGTCAGCCCCAGCTTTGTGGTTCCGTGGGAGGGAAAGGGTAGGGCTGAGCCCTGTCCAGCTGGCCTGAAGTGCCCTTGAAGAAATTGTCCCTCCTAGTGGAGGGCTGCTTCTGGGCCCTGAGGAAGGCTTTAACACACCTGTCTCCCAGAAACTATGGGAATTTTAGGCGCGGCTAGCTTGGAGCAGATTTGCATGAGCAGGGAGAAAATGCTAACTTGAGCTGGGTGTCCGCAGCTGGCTTGCCATGCTTATTTTTTAGCTGGGTCAGGGTCCAGGTCCTGTTAGAAGAGAAGAGGTCTGCACAAGGCCCCTGTGGGAAAGTTAGTGACTCGAGGAAGCTTTGAGCGGTCCGGACCCCAGGGTCCTGCTGAGAAGGAATCACGGCTCTAGCCCCTCTGCCCTCTTGCTCATTTGCCTTTCCTGTGACTGCAGTGACTGGAAGACCAGGGCTACATCTTGAGGTCTGCTCACACTGCCCTGCTTAGCCAGTTGACAGAACTGCCACATCTTCTCGGTTGAGTGGTCCAGCTCTTCCAGTGAGAGGCCTTGCCTGGATGCAGGGGCTCTCTGTGTCTTCTGGTCACTGGGCCTGCGGGCATGGGCTGTCTCCTGGCAACCGGCTTACTGTGTGCCTGGCTTCCTCGTCCTTCACTGTGCCTGATAAAGGGGCCACCATGTGAGAATCTGTAGGATACGGGTTTATATTCTTTTTAGTGTTTGCAACAGGGCCTCACACTGGCTAGGCAAGCACTCTCACACTGAGTGAGGTTAGCTGTTGCGATTGGTGGTGTCCTCCCAACCTGACTCCCTCTGCCTCTGAGAAGCCATGGAACATATCTCTATGACACAAGATGGCAGGGGTGTCAGGAAGCCCCCCAGCCTCAGAGGAAAGAGGACAAGTGTGCTAGGCCCTGGAATAAGTGACCTACAGGCGTTCAGCATATCGGGGGTGAGTCGCTTCCTTCCCTCTCTCAGCCAGGGGACAGGAGTGTAAGCCCAGCCCACAGAGTCATGGCAGCAGGGAACCTGGTGTGGCCCCACCTTCACCTGCAGCAGGAAGGAGCCTGCCCCTGCCCTCAATTCAGTCACAGATACTTCCTGGGATTGGTTTATCATGTCATCATCCAGAATGAGTGACAGAGACACAGTCCAAGAGACAGTAGAGAGGTTCAAAATTCTAGTCATTTAGCCAACAATTGCCACTAAGCCTCCACTCGCCAATGTGACAGCTGTAAGGGAAGCGCTGGCCCACTCAGCCAAGCTGGTCTTCGCACGGGCTTAGTGACCACGGGGGCTGCTGCACTGGATGGAACAGATGTGAAATTTATCAGGGTGGCTCAGCTTAGCGCCCTGAGCATGGGTCTGACCTTGGCCTTCCCAGGCTCTTTAGTCCAGTTCCCTGACACAGGGCCCACCTGTAAGCCAGATGTGGCACCTTGCCTTTGGTGAGCCCATTGTTCAGGCAGCATCCTTTGAGGTCAAGTCCATCAAAGCTACCCTTCAGAAGAATCAGGTGGGCTTGGACATCCAGAAAGAAGGGGATGTTCATTTCCACACACAGTTTGTTGTTCCTAGTATACGCCTGGCAAGCATTTTCTGCAGGGACTGGATAGAGAGCGCTTTAGGTCTCCGGCCCACAAAGACTACGTCAGGTCATCACATCTGCCATCGGTAGGGGGGGTGGACAGGCTCCCGTAGAGTCTGGCTGACAGACACAGGCCTTAGGTTGCTAGCCTCTGGAAGGAAGGAGCGTCTCATATGATTTGCCTGTGCATGGTAGAGCAGATACAATGCAGTGCAGAGTAGGTTCCCCATGAATATTCATGGGGATATTTAAATGAAATAAATGGCTGAAACTGTGGTTGTATGTATTCTTGCCTCATAACCCAGCAAGCCAGCTCCTAGAACATACCCAAAAGAACTGCCCACAGGCGGTCACCAACAGCGTCAGATGCTCACGGTGATCTATTAGCTCCCGTATAGTATTCCAATTTGCCCATTTTCCTGTCAGCATGCACTGGGTAGATTTCAGTTTGGGGGCTTTTTGAAAGATGTGGATTCTATGGAGCAAACCCAGATCCTTGTGTTTGCTTGCAAACAAGCAGGGTGGTGTTGGTCGGGGTGGCATGGGGGTGGCATGGGGTGATGGGTGGCATGGAAGGTGGTGCTGGTGCTTATTTGAGACTGTGTATGTAGCTCTGTCTGGCCTGGAACTCAGTGTGCGGACCAGGTTGGCCTCTGCCTCCTGGATTCTGGGATTAAAGAGGCGCCAAGCCCAGCCGAGCACTCAGTTTTGATTAAAAACAACTTAAAAGACAAACCAGTTTGTCCAGAGAGAATGCACTCAGCCTGCTGTCAGCTGCTCTGGCTCCCTGGCTAATGCTCCACACTCGCCCCACCTCCCATGCTGGCCCACGCCCTGCTCCAGGGCTGTGTGTGCTCTGGTGTCAGGGCCCCTGCTTTGTGGTCTCTGCAGAACATCGTTGCTGTGGGAGCTGGCTTCTGCGACGGCCTCCGCTGCGGGGACAACACCAAGGCGGCTGTCATCCGCCTCGGCCTCATGGAGATGATCGCTTTCGCCAAGATTTTTTGTAAGGGCCAGGTGTCCACAGCCACCTTCCTGGAGAGCTGCGGGGTAGCGGACCTCATCACCACCTGCTACGGAGGGCGCAACCGAAAGGTGGCGGAGGCCTTCGCCAGGACCGGGAAGGTACCCTGAGCCCCGCCCTTTCCAGCTGAGACTGAGACCTTCCACAGCCCGGGGGAATGAGACCTGTCCCCTTAGAGATTTCCTGTTCCTTCTGACTGTGCTCAGCTGACTGCTGTGGCCCTAAGATGCCCCATCTTTTCTTTCTTTTAATTTTAAGTTAGCATATGAGTTCTGTGATGGCATTTTCATAACAATTTAGGTTGATCCTCCCCTAGTCCCAGCTATCCTCTCCCCACCCTGATTGTGCCCGTCTACTGCCGGAGTTCCCTCTATTTTCATATCACATCTCCCTCTCCCCCCTTTCCAGTCTCTGGCCTCTGCCCGCTCCACTCCAACATACACATACAGATATTGAAAACTAGGCTCTAGGAGGCTGGGGAGACTGCTCAGCCACACAAACATGGGGACCGAAGATTGGACTGCCAGCAGCCACATCAACCTGTGATGTCAGCACTGGGGAGACTGGAGGGTTCCCTGCGGCTTCCTGGTCAGTCAGCCCGGCTAAGTTAGTGAGCTCCAGGTTCACAGAGGACAGTGACATCAACCTCTGGCCTCTCCATGCGTGCAAGCACACACATGTATGCACACACACACACACACACACACACACACACA